GGGAAACGCATGGGTAATTTGTGAAATTTAAAAACATTTTAAACAGACTAAAAAATTAACTGAGAAAAGTATTTGCACAATAACCAATGATGCTAATAGTTAGTTGTAGCCCCATTAACTGACTAACTAATAATAATCATAAATTTAATTATTATTATTAGTGACAAGCATTAGTAAATAAGTTTAAAAATGACTTATAACGAAAAGTTGTACAATAACAGTATCTATCTATACAGATATATACAAACAAACAGACAATGCTATTCCTGCTCTTTTTTATATCATCAGGACTCCCGTTATCACAGTGGATGGAGTCCTTACAGCTGTGCTTCTTAGCACTGTGAAGTTAATTGCTTTGACCTGGCCTCCCAGGTGCAAATCACTCCACGATTAGAAGGTGTCAGTGATCCCCTACCTCTGCCTGCCACACAAGCACACACTGCACTTGTAGACCAACTCACACACCATTACAGTTCTTCTACACTCCACCTTTATTCTGTGTGAGATTCAATTACAAGTAAAACACACCAGTAGCTGAAGGTAAGCTAGAATATCACATGCAACCACTGCAAGGCACACTTCATTCTCTGCTGACAAGCAACATCATCCAGCAATAAAATTAAATGGACACCAATAAACTGTTTATTCAATCATCCATTTTTTTTTAAATATTTTAGCATATTCATTTCACACTTTTGTAATTTTGTGTAAAAAATGAAATAAAAAATTAGATCACCTAGTTGAGAACAGGCACCATGTATTAAGCATGAGTCCTATGGTGCATGTCAACTAAACAGTTTCATGTGATTTTAGGACTTTTGATGACTTTCCCAATGCCGCGTGCAGTGACACAAATCATTGTTTCGCTATCATACTTTGCCTGTATACATATATAAGATTATTCGTTTATATGTTTTCTTTTTTCTTTGGTTTTATCATTATTCCTTTGGGATATGATGCGGCAATGCTCGACAGACATCTCTTTGAAAGATCTGTCTGGACACTTTATATAAGGGGTCTCAGCAATTAGAGCAGAATGTTTTATTCCAATAATCCCAAGATCCTTTGATCTGCAATGCAGATCAGTGGCATGGATGAAAGATGGACTAAGCAGTGTCAAATTCTTCAAAGAGCAGCTTGTTTCTAATAGAAGCCTCAACATGTCCGTCTATGACATGGACGTAATAAGAGGACGAAACGTCACAGAAGAGAAGGCAACAGGACTGACAGAGCCCGAATGAGCAGGGAAGGTCCTTATAAATGTTCCATTAAGTTTCTGACACCTACAAGAAAACAGAGACATTGAGATCCGCTTCTCTTGAACACTGAGGAAGCCCTTCATGCCACTTAAATCACACGGGTTTCTCAGTATTAGAGACATAACAAATTCTTTATCATCTTTTCAAAAGAGCTGAGAACGTTGAAAAGAAAAGTATTTTGAGTAAAGAATCTGCCATCCTCTTATCACAGAGTATTTTAAGATGTATTTTAATGTATTCAAGTCATATTTTCAAGGCTGTATGTGGTACATGCTATTACATGCTACCCACTAAATCTTTATGGAAACACTTCAACAGTATGATAGAGTTGTGCAGTCCTGGATGTTTTATCACAGATCGGTCTGTCAGTACAGACAAATGCTGTATCGTCTGGCATTCCTGGCATTTTTTCTGGAATGAAAGGAGCTGAAAAATGAATGACCCTTACTGGCAATTATTTCCAATTACAAAAAGAAAAAAGAAAGGCAGGTAGAATTTTAGCGAGGTCAGCATGACAGCATCAGGAAACTATTGTTTTTTTCCTCTCATAAATCTAATCTATTCAGCTTGGTTTAACTTCATATTTTTCTCTAGTAATTTCTGCATGGATCTATTGTCCAGCAGGGGGTCCACCCAGAGTTTGAGCAACATTGCGTTAGCAGAACAGCAGTAAGCATCATAGCTGCTGTTTTTAAAGACATCTCTTCTTCACACAACACTCCTATTGTCTTAAGCCCCTTCAGTGTTCCGATCATTAATAATCATCAAACCAACTTTTTTTTGATCGTCTTCCCCTTGCAAACAGTAGGCTTGATCAGAAGGTGAACTAGGCCTTACAACCAGAGCTGTGTGCCATAGATAACATTTCTCTTTGCTAAAACATATTGTTGGACCAGGTGACCAGAATCCTCCCTGTAATAGGTCTAGGCTGCTGGGGGCTTCCCAAGATACACTGAGTGTTCTTCACTCACCTTTTTCACTCATTTAATCATTAGTTATTGTTAATCTCTGGCTCTTTTCCAACTTGTATCTTTATCTTGTCTCCCTCCCCTCACCCTAACCTGCTACAACAGAGGTTTCTTCTTGTAAACTGGAGTTTTTCCTTCCCGCTGTCGCTAAAGTGCTTGCTTATAGGGGGTCATGTGATTGTTGGGGTTTCTCCGTTTTCTCTGTATTATTGTAGGGCTTTTAGCTTACAACATATACCCACACTCTATTACATTATTCAGGAGTAGATCTATTCTACCAGGAGTAGAATAGTTGATCTACTTTAGTAAAGCAAATTTATAATTAAATCAGATTATCTGGATAGAAATTTCATGTTGTGATTCTTGTGTACTGGATTTTTATTCAGTGACAGCAGCTTAAATATAAGTACCCCAAAGAGATACAGTGCAACATAAAACTGCTCTAAATACTATCGTAAAATCTTACAGCTCCCACTTAAAAATAATTGGCTGTTCCAAAGACTTGAGGTCTTGTAAATGGAGAAATTTAGGAATAAACAGCAGAGAAATGCAGAAGATTTCTCAATTAAAACTGTACTTTTAGTTGCTGTAATTTGGATTAAAAAGAGGAACCAAGTCAAAAGATCGGAGGAGGCCGCGGTCAACTTCTGTTTAACTTCTTCACCATGCTGATTTTACTACATGGCAAAAGACCCCTGCACTGTTGCAAGCGTCTTTACCCCTTCATGCACTGGAGGAGAAAATTATATTCATCTGAAAGTTGCGCAGTATTTAAATACTGTGGGAATAAAGCAATGTGTGGCCTTTTCTTGCTATGAAAATATTTGAAGTGTGAACAATTCTACTGTGCCAGAAGCATTTTTCGTGAGTTCATACGGTATACAAACTACTAAAAATTAACATCTGCAGCTAAAATTCTTAAAGTATGTATATCTATTATTTGCTTCACCAATAGCTCATAAGATACCTGAAATTATCTGCAGATAACTTGATTTCAGTGATCTCCTTTGTCAAACACTAAATGACTGAGATTACCACGATACGGATATTTTGCTGGAGCAGCCCTGTTTGTTTACCGTTAGATAAGATCACATTTTATTAGAAGCTATGGCATGAAGTGCAGAGCAAAATCAAATTATTTTCAACAATGGGCTACAGAGATAAATATCCTGCATCCAGCAGCTCTTTGCATGACATTAATTCTTTGGCAAAGATTAGCATTGTGTGTACAGGAAAGTAAAGTCGAGTCGTTTGTCTTCGGCTCGGTCCCTTCACTTGGAATTAATTGTTCTCCATATGTGGAAGAAAGAGAAAGGATCTTACTCTATCCAGACTTCGTTTGTTATAATTACTGTGTCTACAAAAAACAAAAGAACATATTCTGATGTGTGGGATAATTTGACCCATTCATCAGCTCCTGTTGTAATCAAACTGCTTGCCAGTTCTTCTAACAGCAGTGGGACCAGAGCCATAGACAGTGATACTGAGGCACCTTTGTTGCTTTCATCAACATTTTTGGATGTAGTTTGATACCAGTAACTATTGTCTAAAAGCACCATACCAAGTCACAATCAGACTCCAGGAGTGAAGTAATGAGTGCCGACATGAACGTTCCTGGTTTCCCATTTCATCTTTTTAGTATAATTATATATAATTTGTATGTTCCAATAAAATATTTCCTTCAAATGTAGAGAAATTCATATTCACACAGGAATAATTAGAAACATTTTAATCTAACCACTTAAAGCAATTCCATGTAATTTCAAGATGCTGTTTTTGTGCTATGTTCCACCATGGTCCTGGTCTTTAGACCAAGGCTTCTGAGGTGCTGGACATTCAATTATTAATTATTAATACATATTTTCTGTTTGGTTTATTGTTTACATTTTGATCTTCTCTAGTTCTGAGTTTCAGCTTTGATTTTTTTTAACTGTGTGTTTTTATTTGCTCTCTCACTATTCTCATCCTCCTGGGTCTGAATTTCCCTATTATTGTTTCTACTTCCTGTTTTACTTTAGTAATTATTTGGTAATCACTTGAAACCTTCGTTTTTCTCTCGCTTCCATCTCTTTGCTTATCTTCACCTGTACCTTATTCTCCTGTGTTCAATTCCCTGATTACCCTCATGTATAAATAGTGCTGCCTTTAGTTTGTTTTTGACCATCTGTGCATTGGCCTGCAAAAATGGCTCTCATTTTCTTCACGCAGTCTGCTTCTGTGTGTTTTTGTTTGTGTCCACTTCTTCTACACTCTAGTTTCTTGATAGATCAGCACATATACTTTAGAAACTAGACATACCCCATTCCCCCCCCGAATAGTCGAAAAACAGATGATGTGGGTGTAATCTTTAAACCTACAGTATTTTGAATGACCAGCAGGGAGTTTCGTCACTCTGGTTGGAAATCTTTGGGGAAAAAAGGTTCTTGTCTCACTTGCTTTGTAACCTCCATTAACAGCTTCCCGTGCACAGCAAATTCTGGTCCTTGGAATAAACTCTCAGGGAGTTCAGATTAACTACATTTGAGTGTACATGCGTGACCATCGAATGAACTCTAGTGCAGAGTTAGAGTAACTCTTTTCCGGGAGTTGATTTTTCAACTCTTTATAGGAGTTAAAACTAAACTCTCACGGAGTGAAATTTCTACTACCATATAGAGTAAAATTTAACTCATAACTAGAGTTAAGTTTGATATTAACTCTTTTGTAGTGTTACTCATCAATTGAAAAAAGTTTTAGGTTTTTGGTGCAAATTACTACAAAAACACAATAGTGATTATTATGAATGTATGGATTTTATTTATCAAAAATAACATATTCAAATATGAATGCTGCATGGATTAACATACATTCTGTGTAACAGTACTGTAATAGCATAATATCCACCATTATTGGCAGCTAAACAGTTGAGGTCAGAAAGGCCTAACATTGGGCGAAAAGAAAAAAAAAAAACAGAATTAAAGGAAAAAAATGACTACAGAATAAGCACTTCTTGTAATGCAGTGTTAACGTGAGGAAGACTCTGTAAAGTCTCCATCAAGCCAACAAATTAAGTAATGCAACTCTCTCACAGAACATAAAATTGTGAATCACACCCATATGACATTTGGGCATCAAAACATTTGAAATGTCTTACTTTCTCCCTTTCTAGGACCAGTATCTTCTTAAAAATGGTTTCATTTACCTGAAAAGCAGGACACTGATCATGGAAACACGTTTCATGGTTAACATGCATAACAAAAACAGAGAGAGAGCGAGAGAGAGAGAGCAAGTCTTATTACACACTACAGTTGCAGAGCAAACTACATGAAATACTATATTAAATTATTTTTCTCTAATCTGTTTTATCTTCGTGTTTAAGCTTTTTCAAGTAATGGCAACTAAAGAGTCAAGTATAAGTCAATTAAGTACTGTATCTACATTTCTTTCATGTATGCTGTCCAATAGAGGCTGAACCATTTGAAGTCCGGCATCACTTGTGTCACTGCTCTGACTGCTGGTGGTTGAGACAGACAATGTATCTGTTAGACTTGGAGAGGAGGGCTCTTCCACATGTTGCTTCAGGACAGTCAAATCTGAGGGTGACAAATAAAAATATTAGAATACAAGGTATATACAATCAAAAACACAACACAACAAAGATACCATTTATGCACACAGGGCCAGTAAATTGCACGGTTTGATTAAATTATACTTTCTCCCAGGAGAACAGATGGTTATTTTGTATTTTATTATGGTAATATACAATTTACATACCACAAGGTGTGAGTGTCACATAGTGTGTTAGGTCTGAGCAGTCACGCAGCTTCTTGGATGACTGTGTTTCCAGGATGTCTGAAATGCATGTGATAAATCCAACTTACTGTTGAGCCATGAAAACAGCATTTTGTGATTGTTACCACAGGATATTAGACAAATTAAAAATGTTTATTTAAGAGTAACTGTACAAATCAAATCCTTCAAAATCTATCAGAGCATATATTTACTTACCTTCAGCTGTATAGATGACAAAACACACCTCTTTGACTGCTGCAAGTTCAGGAAAGATATCCTCATCCACCTCTATACCCTGCTCATCCGTGACTTTCAGTGCTGCATTTTCTGGTATGAGAAACTTCTGCTGCACTGAAGTAAAATCATCACTTAGTTAATAACAACATTATCATTTCTTCTTTAATGACTTAGTACAAACCATAACTTACCTGCTCTCACAAAATCTGTGAAGCTGACTTCTTCCAATTTTGCATATTTCTTTGTCTCTCTGTGTTTTACTTTTATCAACATCTTGGCCACCTACGGAAAAAAATACCTTTACTACTATGAAACACAACACAAGAAGAAGAGGTTGTTTATGGTAACTCTATGTAAACTGTGTATAACTTAATCAACGAACACTGTCTTACATTGAGTTAGCCTGTCCACACTAAATATTGCTTAAAATCTATTTAGCTAGGCTGGTTTAGCAGACAATGTGACCGCATGTTTGCTGTGTCCTTGTCTTTACAGTTCTGGAGACAGGGTTGTGTGCATGTCTCAGTGTGCAGCAGGACTAAATAACTGATGTTAATGGTACCTCAACATCTCATCAGTGCAGGCTGCACCTCTCTTTGGTTAAATACGGCCATTACCATGAGTCTAAACAGAATATTACTGTAGTTAGCTAACGTTAAATTAAACGTTGGTGTTAAAATTAAGAAATAGAAATAAACGTTTTCATTGACAACGTGAAATGTGTATCTTAAAATACAGTAAGATAAGTAAGTTAGCTAACTTTTGACTAGCATTAGCCTAGCTGCTATCTCCAAATCAGCATAACATACAGAAAACACATGTAGTGCTAGTTAGTTAACTTTATATTTTACTTGTGCATCCATGTAACTGAATATATATATATAAATAACATCACTACACTCACAGAAAATTCCAAAGTAAATAAAGTATTTTTACCTCCTACATGTCGGAGTCCAAGAAAGAAACACAGATAGGCGCTGTAACGGTCGACAGACAAACAACACCAGCAATGTGTTGAATTAGACTCCTTAGCACCCAGTGAATGAACACCTAAATATTACACCGCTTTAGAGTACTCCCCAACACTGACTGTAGTATAAGGTGAAAAATAAACTCCCGGAATGTAACTCTTGCGCACTTTTATGCCTAACTCCAGAATATTTAACTCCAGTGATTTGCTGTGTGGAGCTTATGGTCTCAGTCACTAGATTAGAGGGTTACTGACTACAACATGATGTTCACTTTAAATATTAAGGTCCACACACATACAAGCCAAAATGGAGTATATACAAAATATACTTTACCATGTAATTGACAAGTCACTGGCATATGATGTTGCAGTATCCTTTGTTCCTCTCATCTGGTTTAAAAATCAAAAATAAAATTTTTTATATAATCACACGAGAATATTCAAAATTGGACAAAAGCATAAAACAACATTTCCTAAAATGCCATGCCTCTACTTTAAATGTTAAAGACAAGAAAAGCACATTTACACAAGGAACAAAAGGAATAGCTGAAACTCAACTCTGAATCATAGAGAGAAAATCTGGCAAGAGAAAAACTGTTAGAAAAGATGTATATACACTGGGCTGAGGAATTAGCTGAACAAGGGCAATGTATAAAATTGACGGGGAAAACAAATGGACAGAAGTAGTTCCATGAAAACCACAGACTAGATAAATAAAACTAATTAAACTAGTTTACTAAATAAAACTTTATTTTCAGAATTCAAACTAGATGACACAGGGATATAATGCAAGTGTGAGTCTTATATTATAAAGTTCGTTTTGATTTGAATGTTAAAATTACGCCCCCAAAAGATTAGTACATACAGTAACATGTCTGACTTTGTGCTGTTATAGTTTCATGGGTTGTAATTTTATTCAAGTGCTGAGTCATATTCCTTTGTGCTGTTACTAGGCTGAATGAAAGCTTTGTCCAAGCAAGAGATCAAAGGCTTTTACCTTCCTGAGCCGTTTCCTGCTTCTGCAGTTAATCTCTTCAGTGAGAGGAAGATGGAATATTATCCAAAGCAGCAGTATAAGAACATGAGAAAAAGGTAGGAACACTTTAATAGGCATTGCTACTGAATTTGTACTATAATAATCAACTCAGGGTTACAATTTTATGTCAGTTATTATTTGTCTAATACTGTAATGTTATTAGTGTACCTGAAAACTCCACATTACCCACTTCACCACCGTTTATTTGGAACAAATCTGTCATAATAAATCCACCCCCGAAAGCTGGTGGAGTCCATTTATTCCATTCTCTCTGTATGATCAGACATTTCCTTGGGTGAGAGACTTGGAGAGAAGCCAGCATATCTATCCCACTCTAATCCACTGATGGGCTGAGAAGCTAGTGACCCATCACATGCTGTACATCATTCACTGCTGACTGCAGGGTGCTCATGTTTAAGTTATGAACAACAGCAGACTGGGAATCTTAATTCTTAAACTGTAACTCTAGTGGGATTAAACTGACAAGACTATTGCAGAGATTCCCAAAAACAGAACAGTTTGAAATGACATAAGAAACGTCTTTCCCTTCCTGCTGAGGAACCTCAGGCAAATTCAGCAGAGTTAAAGATACAGCCTGTGGGTGTGTACATGATTTCATATTAACAAACCGGTTACAGTATATGTTTTGGTTGTCCTTTTCTTTCTTCTTTTCTAGCTACATTCATGAGAAGTCACACAAGGGGAAAATTTAGGATGTGATAGCGACACATCTGGGCCTAACATGGGCTACTTCGGACACTAACAACAGCATTGTTATGGCACTTTGATTGCTGGAACTGGTGAGCTTACATGGGTCATGGAAGATGAAGTGTGGGCCAGATGTAGCTCAGAAGTTATAAGCAAGACTTGATACACATCACGAGTGATTTCTGGGCTACATTTGGTAAACCTGGCATCAGTCACTCTTTGTAAGTCAGTGCCTTCAGTTAGGAAAACAACATAATACTTCAAAGACAATTAATGAACACAAAAAAGATTATCTCTGGATCTGAATCAGTTTCACTTCCTGCTAATTTGCATCCTATAGCATGGTTAGTAAACCCACCATGCTCTTAATAGAAGTCATTGTACATTTAATCAAAAAGAGGTTGTTAAAACCTTTTGTAATGACTTCAATACTAAACAGAGCTAGTTGAGTACCACCTCGTTTAAACTTAACTGCACAATTGATTCTTACCATTATTGTCCATTATGGAATCCTTGGATTGTAAATACATAGAGTGCACAGTATAATGGATTATGGCAATTGTTTCTTCTGGGTTTTTTTTCTCAGCTATGCACAGAAGACATCTACACGATTAATTATCTGGAGATTACAATATAATGTTGCTGTATTTCAATAGTTGAATTGTCTGTCATTTTTCATTGAAGTTGAATTCACAGTGCAGAGCACAGAATACATGTGCATGCATAATTCATTTTGGTGAGTGTATGAGACTTCAACATATGGTATAAGGTGAAGAGATCAATCCAATTTAAATTAAAAATCACACAGAATTATCTGTGCTTTTATCACCAAAAAAAAGAAAAAGAGATTACAATATAATAATAAAGTAAAAAGTTGGCTTTTATCTAACTAAATTAATTAAAGTAGTTAGAAGCACATTGTACAAATATAATAAAGCTTTCTTACGATCCTCTTTGTCCTGATGGTAAGGCTAACAGGATCATTCTTCTTGTTAATACCACACAGTAAGTATAATTGCTGTACTCTGTAAGTTTTAATAGGTTCCTTGCACTTAACAGTTAGTGATAGCATCCAAAGATGCTAAATCAGCAAGCAGCTCTCGTATGTCCATTGGTAATTATTTCTATCAGCCTTGAAGCGCAGCTGGTGTGAGTTTAACCACTCCAAAAGGTATTGGTGTACAGAACCTTTCTCATTTGCCATACTAGCCCTGGGCTTCCCTTCTAACTTGCCTATAGAAAGCCTTTAGGGCACCTTTCCTGTGCTGGTTGCAATTATTAAGTGCAGGGTTCACATTTTCATATTACTAAACAGCACTTATCTTGTTATAATTTCATTCAAAGGTGCTAGCATGTATTAGGAGACAACTTGCAAATGTTTTATGCAAGTTCCAAAAGTTTCCTCATAGAGTTATAAACAGAGATTAAAAAACAAAATAGTGTGCAAAACAACACAACATTTGCTTTTGTGTGCGTTTATGTGTACAAAATATATACATGAACACATCAATCCGTTTTCTTCCACTTTTCTGGGGACGAGTTCCATGGGCAGTAATCATGGAACCCTAATCAGGAGCTCTGATCTCCCTCTCCCCTGCCACTTTCTTCACCTTATCCCAGGAAACAGGTATTCCCAGACCAGATGGGAGATACTATCTCTTCAGCATGTCCTGGGATCTACCCCGGGACCTTCTCCCCATAGAATATACCCAGAACACACAGAAAGCATCCTTATCAAATGCATGAACCACATCAACTGGCTTCTTTCAATGTGGAGGAGTAGCGGCTTTAGTCTGAACCTCTCTTGAACGACTGAATTTCTCAGTCTCTCTCTATGGGAGAGGCCAGCAAACTTGCAGAGAATGTTCAGTTCTGTTGCTTGTATCTGCCATCTCGTTCTTTTGTTCAATACCCAAGGTTTGTGATGTCAGCTTCACTTTTATGCTGAGCTATCTCTTCATTAGGAATAAACCAGTCATATCTCTGTGGATTATTATTATTATTAACCTTTATTTTACCAGGAAAAGTCCCAATGAGATTAAAAACCTCTTTTTCAAGGGAGTCCTGGCCAAGAGGCGACAACATGTTAA